TTCATTTCCAGTCATTTTCCTGCAACTTTCACAGTTGAATAAAATCCTCATTGGCCCTTAACTTGGAAACAGTGGGAATTCATGCCAATTAAGGCAGTTTATTCAATTCATTTATAATTAATAACTAATAATTAACAACTTCATTCAAAGTCGCATGGCTCTACAGAAGCAATTAACTATTTCCCAACTTACACCCATGTCAGCTGTTTTAAGAAAATAAAGTTCTTAAACTTACACTCATTAGACTTCATTAAACGGTCTACTCAAATTTTCTCACAACTGTGCAAAGGTTTCATACATTTTATTCACCAGCTAGGAGATCCCTTAGGATTCAATTTTATTTGATCCTAAGCCAAAGACCCAAGAGCTAAAGTGACCGAACTTCATTGAACTAACTTGGTAACATGACTTTGAGAAACCTGGGGATTTGGGCTTTCTTGGATTTGATGGCAACTCTAATTTCCTGTGTTACTATCTGCCTTTGGAAAAAAGAAATGAGCTGGGTTGCTTAAAGGTCACATTATTGGCAGACAAAAGAAAATGAGTCAAACTTCCCTGACACTTAGCTGACTTCTCTGTTGGAGGCTTGTGTTGTCTCTCAAGACCAGAAATTGGACAGCATTTGTTAAACAGAAAGTCATATAGTTACATGTCATAAGACAAAGGAAGTATCTCCTGCATTTGCTGAAAGATCGAAGGCAGCACTTACTAAGAACTACATTTGATTTCATTGGTGTGTACGTTTCAATCTCCTTTATCAGTTGGCTGATGCTCTCTTCAAAATTACTGTCATTACTGAAGTCAATCCACAGTTTAGCTCCCAATAAAGCCCCAAGCCAACCATCTGGCCTGTAATTCTTTTCCATCATGAGGGGAACGATTTGTTTTCTTAACTGGAAAGTGTATTCTGCCTCTGCAAATAAAAGCAAGATCTGCTGAGTTACACGTGGAAGATCACAGAGGAAGGTAATGGTTTGGCCTCGTTGCAGAATTCACACGAGGGGAGATAACAGACTCCACCAAAAACCTCAAACGCACACGTGTGGTAAACTTTGTTAATCTGTGTACACAAAACACTCTTTAGCTGGGATCCAATGCTCGTCTGTTTCAATGCAGAGAAACAGACCTGTTGTGTTTATTTAATTTATGGGACAGGGTCTTGGCATCATTTCACAGATGGGGGTTCTCCTCTCAGCAAAACTAAGCAATCAATTTTGGTTTCTGTTTTCTCTGAATGGGACAGATCAAGGTCACCCCAAGCATTTTCAGAGGGTTATCAGACCACACAAAGCAGTGTGTTTTGTGTACAAAAGCACCATCAAGGTACTTTAATGTTATTCTAACATATCACAAATGATTTCAAAGACAAAAACGGTGAACGGACACAATATTAATAAGTATTTAACAGTGTTTGTCTTGAAAAGATACTGTACTTCCTTTAATTGTAAATTTTGAGATTTTAAATGTGTATCTTTTTGTTTTTAATGGCCAGTTTTAACTTATTATGCTAAAAGAACTAAATTATAATATGACTTACTAAACACTTATATATATATAGTTTACGTACAATGTTTTAATTAATGATGGCCCTCTGTTTCTACTACCCTGATACTGCAAGGTGTTGTACCTGTTCTGCAGCTTGGACTCTCTTTGTACTTGGAAGAGATGCAGATTAAGACAGCATAAGCCTGCTCAACAGCCTCAGCCATAGCCTGCAGTGTAGAGCCAGCCATCTGCTCCACATCCATCCACAACCTTAAGCCACTGTTCTGTAATAGAACAGACTTCTGATTAATCACATGAGAAATGGACAGCACTGTTGCCAAAGCAATGTATCGATGTATAAAAAGAGGCATTCAATCACAGCATGGGTTTATGAAAGGTTTGTCTTAAACTGAAGACCTCAATTTTTACATCTCTTTAGTGTTTCAGTGTATTCCAGCAATTGTTTGCATTAAACATGTTTTCCCAAACTGGAATTGTGAGTCTGCCTTCCTGATACGGGAGAAGAAAGTGATCTGAAAATCATCCA